CTTGTGAAGTCACACGTACTTAAGGTTATGTCCATTAGTACACCTAAAACGAAGTTAAACAGGAACGGTGACAGTGGACATTCCTAGCGAATATCACTTGTTGTCGTCAATTCACACGACAACTTTCCGTGAACCCTTACACAGCTGTGTGAGTTCGAGTGGAGAGCTTTGACTAGCGTTATATACTTGCTCAGTACTCCCTTCACAGCCAAACAGTTTCACAACACCACGGTCGACGGAGTAAAATGCCGCCTTCTGGACAAGAAATATGGCAAGTGTTGGACATTGGCGGGTAGGTATACCTGTGTTTTAGAAACCGTTGTAGGGTGAAAATATCATCGATGCACCCTCTTTCAGGTCTGTCCGGAACCTGCCTGGTTTTCTTGAGCTCCAGTTGGGCGTCGGATGACTATGGATCCAAAGATCTTGGACACAATATTAGTCAAACTATTTCCCCTATGGATGTCACAAAAAGATTTCTCTCCCTTCTTTTGAATTGGGGTGATCAGTGAATTGCACAACTCTGACGGGACTACCTCTGATTCCTATACACTACCTAGTACCTCCTTTACTCTTATCAGCAATTTCTTACCTACATCCTTGAAGTCTTCAGGTGGAAAACTGTCAGGCTCTACTGCTCTGCATCATTTCAGGTTTGAAATAGCTTTCTCAAATCCAAGGGGAGTTAGAGGATAGAGACCTACGTCTTATTCAGATGCCGGGCGGATGTTGGCCAACTAAAGCGTGGCCGAGAGCCAGTTGAACTGTGCTTCAAAGTGTTGTGTCACATGTTCTAACCACTTATCCTCAGTTGTTATGAGCCTACCGTCATTTTCGACGACTGTTTCAAAACCATCGTCTTCTTGCCAGTATCCTTAGTAAGCCTGAATGGATGCAGGGTGTTACTGAACACTGATGCTTCCTCGATCCCTCTCACGATCATTGAGAAACTCTTGGTCAGTTTACGTTTAAGTTGCTCTCTCTCTCTCTCTCTCTCTCTCTCTCTCTCTCTCTCTCTCTCTCTCTCTCTCTCTCTCTTCATCATAGTTAGAGCCAGATAGAATCATTCTTCATATATCAGTCAGTTCGGATGACGTTGTGGAAATCCAGTGGCATTTGCTAATCTTCGGATGTAGGTTGTCAGTTGTCTTTACTGCTTTTTTGCAGTAGACTTTATATCCAGTCAGGTTTCCTCAAGATGGGCATCGTTGTCACGTTCAGATAAATGCTTAGCTGACCCCTCCGTAGATAGGTATTTGGAGTCCTCATCTTCCAGTCGACCACAGACAGGCTTTAATGTCACCTGTTTCCTGCAACCCGTGAGGCTCTGATATGCACGAGCCTGTACTAGCGCCTGACCGGAGTCCAAGCAGGTAGTCCAGAGTGAGCTGACAATCATCCGCCGATCCTCTCCAACGACAGCTTATAGCAATATGATCTATCTCTGTACATCGTGAGTTTAGTGCTGGCAAACGCCATGTGAGACGGTGTCTCTCCTTATTTTTAAAGTTAGTGATGAACAGAAACAAATGATTGTTAGAGCAAAATTGCAATTTAATATGTGTAAGCAGAGACAAAACATCCATTCAATTGCATCAACTTCTAAATATTATCCTAACGGATCAAGGTAGAATATATTGAAATGACCAATTGCGATTACCTGGTCAACAACTAACACCATATCTATTCAATATTCAGACAAACAGCTTAAGAAGAAAATAAGATCAGGAGGGTCGAACGCGAACGATTCGAATAAATACTAGTGACGAAATCGGTGCCTTCGTCTACCTACCTACTTCTTCTAACAGTAACATTACTGAGCTCTATGGTATAAACAGTACTAGTTCCGAGGAAACTTCTGACAAGAGTCGGAGATTCGAATTAACGCCTTTTTCTCCCACTCTAAAATATAGGGAGCTTTTCGAGGGTCATTACCCGCCCTTGAATTATTTTAGTGTATATATATTGGACAGTTGGCCAAAAGCTGTACAGCGTCTCACCACCTTAGAAAGATTTCCGTCGCATACTTTACTGACTGGTGTTAGCTAGAGTCGGAATGACCAGATATCGCTTTGGAGACGACATAGTTCTCTCTAAAGGCAGTGGTTTGTATCATCTTGAAGAAATAGTCTTACTCTACCAGAGGTTGACGGAGTGCACATATTTTCGGGTGTTCTAGTGTGGAAAAACGTTTTTTTAAATAGCCCCATAATTTTAACCGTGTCGATTCAATCACAGAGGAAATATTGTATGGGAAAACAGTACATAGGAATTGAAGAATGTTAGTATACACCCGTCCAACAAACTGAGGCTGTCAGGATCTCCTCAGATTGGAACTGTCGCTCATTGGCCTAAGTAAGTGACTTCCAACCGTGGTTTAGGCAACCAGGTAGTATCATTCGCCACCTATAATGGATGTAGTTGAGTGCTCACTGAAAAAGTGGGCATTTTGACCTTTTCAGATTTCTATAACTTGCATCAACTTATGATAAGAATCCCCAACTAACCAGTCAAAAGGTTATTGATATTAATGTGCAACTTTTCAAGTGCTTTCATTATCTATTATTTTAATTAAGTGTGAGGAGAGTATAAGGTTAAGAAAACTGAATCTTAGGAAATGATGTCTTCTGAAGAAAAAGTAATTACACTTGCTATCTGAAATTATATAAAACGTAGTCATATTCTTAGTTTCCCGTCTCTTTTTATAAGGACTGGTTTAATTTGAAAATAAACCCTCCTTAAAAATTGATATAGGTTGGAGAGATGAACGAAATCAAAGAGGCCTGAACAGTTGTTTTAGTCTAGTGCATTATTTGAAAATAGTCTACATTCTCAAACTTTTCCCAATTGAACACTGAACCTTTTGAATAGGAACAAATGCGACAACTCAATAATTTAACTGAAAGCTTGCCGTACTGTCTTCATGGTGTTGTATTCTCGGAGCTGGAAGGTTTGGTCATGAAGACTTATACTTGTTTGCCTAACAAAACCATCAACACCAACTTCATTATGAAGTGAGCTTCATGATTAACCCATCCAACAAAAAGGTGTGATGCATTGAAATGTGTAGTCTGAAAGCTAAGAAATAAGCGCTACAATTACTCAGTTACGACTAATTGCAATTTATTCGTATCCCTGAATAAAACTGCACACAAATAAACAAGTTTGTTTAACAATTCACAAGTGACTAAATCAATATGAATCATTTTATAAAATCGGTAAAAAATAGTGAAAAGAGAAACAAATTCATCAGAAAAGAATATTAAAACGGTTATTAGTTATTGAAACATATCATACTGCCACGTATTCATGATATCCTTTTCACCTTGGTAACTACCAGTGGAATGCAGGATGAGCATTTCATCCTATTCTAGACTCGTCAGCTGGACGTACTCGCCTCCTAGTGAGTAATGCTCCCACTGAGACTAGATCTGGCAACCGACGGCTGTAAACGCCAAAGAGTTATCCGTCAGGTCACCGACTCACGACACTCCGTTCCTGTGGGACGGATATAGTTTTTATAATGCTGCTTGTACTAGCCTATCTTTGATTGGAGCCAAATTGATCGGGACTATTGGCATATGGGCTTCTGGACAGATACCTCGATATTCCTAGCCGTTTCAGCTTTACACCAGTAACAGATAGTGGCTTGCAGTGGAACTCTTGAAAAAAGAGTTGACTAGTCACTTCCTACCCAATACTTTCTTCCGCCCGCATGATAAGAGCTAAATAAGGTATGGTTGAGTTTCTATGTGTGTTAGCACGTGCATAAAGTCCTATATACTTACTCCTCGTATTGCCCAAGGAGTGACGCGCAGAGAAAGATTTCTGAATGAAGATGCTGGTTGCCTGATAAAATAACTTCTGGCAGATGTTTACATGAGTTAAGATGATTGTTCACAACGGTGCTAATTAGACGGTTTAGAGGTACACCATTACAGCATACTGTTTTTCTGGCAACCCAGGAAAAAATAAAGAGGAGTAGGGAAGGCGCAGGAGTTTGTAAAACACAAGAGAAGAGGGCGAGTTACACCAGATACTATCAGCTTTTTACAATAGTAAGTTAGGCAGAAGATTCTTTTGGAAATTATAAAGATATAGGAGGACAAGTAAAGGTCTGAAGAGATACATACGCCAAGATAAAACATACTTGTAGCATTCTCTAATACACAGCTATATATAGAAAAGGAACAATAAGACGTGGGCAGTTTGCATAGGTCATATTCACGTCTGAAACTAAAGGTTTGTGGTCTGACGCTTTGTCTGTGTATCCAAGTGAATTCCCACTAAGCCAATGTGCAAATCATGTAACCATAGATCATCCAGGACAAACAAAATAACCAAGAACCCATTGTTAACGCTTCATACTCTGTTCTAGCTAACACAAACATGGAATGTATATATCTAGACATCAGTGGGTGAACCATGGAAGACCTGGGAGCACTAGACAGCTGTTTCTCATCCCTGTACACCATTGAACTTGCTACAGATCGAGCGAAATCATCGAAATGGGGAAATTTGGACACTAAAGCTTGAATAAAAGTCTACTCACCACCAAACCTAACGATCTGGGCTTGACCACTCGGTGAATCGTTGGTATACACTTTAGAGGAATACCGGACTAGGCTGCAACAGGTGTCTGATCCTTCTTGTTCGTCAATCACAAACCAACTGAATTCATTCTTTAACAAATAACCTCACCAGAATGTGCACTGCTAAGGAATTCCACACTGAGACGAAACATCTGTCCAATGTTCCTAAGTTTTTAATGGTTCTCCACCTGATTTCAGTCCATGATGAATACCATCTCAGTCCACTGAATCGATTGAATTCGTTGATAATAGCAATGATTATTATTATTATTGTTTCCTGTATCCGCTGATAAGCGTTATAATTATCTTTACCCCTGAGTATATATAGTAGTAAATACAACTGATATTATTGTAAATTATCCGGTAGTAAATTGATTATTTTAACTATTCAAATTTATCGATTCACAGTGAATATTGATCCAATTACACATCAAACCAAGTATACACAACCTAGTCAACTATCAGCTGAACAAACCGATGAAACATCAACAATAATAGACAACATCAGTGAGATATCCGTAGACAGTTCATCTACACTTCGACAAGATAGACGTTTACGAAGGGGTAAGTTGACAACAACAACAAAAAACAAGACAGCAAAATAAACATTCGAAAATCATTGTGTAAACTAGCATTAATCTATTCTTTATTTGGAACCATTAAATTAACTACTTTGATATAGATTATCACTTCATCGTAGCCAACATATAGTCATCATTCTACAGTAATCGAAAGCATAGAGAACTGAAGTATCAGCTAAATACCTTTGTAAATTACAGCATTTAAGTCATTTCTCTTCTGCTTTAACTGGTTATCTAGTGGAAAATTTCTGAATCACTCCTAACACTGACTTTTCATGTTATGAATTCTGCATACAATTACCACATATCGTAGACACAATTTCACTTACGGAATTAAACACATGGTTTGCTCTACACCCACTCTTTGAGTGACATTAAAGATCAATCAAACAAGTGATGAGATAGCCAATTATTTTTCCCCATATTAAGAATAACTACCTTCTTAAAGGGAATACTGAAAGCTGATTGGTTATTCCAGCAGTTGCTATGGTGATCTTTAAAGTTGCTTTACTCCTCGACCTTCGCATACTAAAAGAAAAAAATGGATTCCACTCAGCAAATTCACAAACTAGGCAATGAGATACACCAGTGGTGTGAAGGCCATTGACACTATCTAACTGTCCCGTACTCAGCACTTTGGGTTCGAACTCATGATATACCCATGCCTAGACCAATGAAGCATACGTGTATAATACAACCAAGACCACCCATCTGAGCTACAAATATTCTCCACTATTTCAAAAGCGAAAGTTAATGCTCAGTAACCTTATATATCTACGTTATGAGTCATGCGACCGGACCACATCCATAATACATCACAAATCATCAGAATAAAGTATCTGATTCTACAAACAATCAACTTCATTTAACATGCGATCATTCTGGAACAGTGAGTTGTAGGGAAATGAGGAAGGGCTTCATCACAAGCTATCTGTCTGAGATCCCTACCTTCCTCTCTTTTGTTAGTTATAACTTCTATCAGGAATCAGTTTTAATGATATCGGAAGTAATTTGGTTGGGAGATCTGTGGAAGATGGTATACATGACAGTTTGACATGACTTAGAGAATCATTGGAGGTCTAGGAGTGTTGAACAATTGTTTCGTCCTAGTATGGGACTCCGACCTCGCCTGGTTAACTAGTTCACTAGTCACTAGCCGGTCCTAAGCCCGGGTAAAGAGCGAAGGCTCGACATACGGCTAGCAACCCTACCCCGGAAAACAAATCTAACCGCTAAAGAAACTTCAAAGCACAAACGAAATATAAAAAGTAAAAACAAAATTATTCCCCGCTGGAATCGGAGAGGCGAAATGACGCCGGTTGCTGAAAGCCTTCGGGAAACCAATTGGCCGATGTGTCTTCTCTCCCTCGATGAAAGCGAAAGTAAACGTGGGAAATGGAATGTCCGCATTATGTTTGAACCAAGCAAGGCAGCCCAGATTGCAAATGAGATGAGAAGGTATCACACTGAAGTGCTTGGAATTTGCGAAGGCAGATGGAATGGAAGTGAACTCTCCAAACTGTCAACTGGAGAATCAATAATCTACTCCGATATTGTCACCCAGAAGACAACCACGAGCACACTGAGTTTTCCAGTGGCTATCATGATGTCACCTTTAAGAGCATTGAAGGCTCTCATGCAGTGGGAACCAATCTCCTCCAGCATCATGACAGCAAGGTTCAACTCAAAAGGAAGGAAGGTCACAATCATTCAGTGCTACGCTATGCACCTACAAATAATGCAGAGCAAGAGAAAAAGGAGGAATTCTACAGACAAATTCAATCAACACTGGACAAGACCTCAGCTCGGATGGCGACATCAAAATTCTAATGGGCGACATGAATGCCAAACTGGGAGGGGAAAACACAGGAGGAGAACCTATCATGGGTCGAGAAGCGCTCGGTGAGGTGATGAACGAGAATGCAGAATTGTTTGCAGAATTCTGTGCATTCAACGATTTGGTGATTGGAGTCAATCACTGTGTTCAAGCACAAGGATATCCACAAAGTGACATGGATTTCACCAGATGGACACAACACTAAAAATCAGATCGACTTTATCTCAATTTGAACAGAGTGCAGACGCAGCCTACTTGACACAAGGTCAAGAAGAGGAGCAGATGTAGGTTCAGACAACGCATTATCTAGTGCAAGCAACCTACCTTCCAAATCAAGTTAAAAGCCTTCAAGGAAGCTGGTGATAGACCTCAATTCAAGTACAACACTCGGAAACTGAAGGATGAAATTACAAAGGAGATCTTCACATCAGTCAGCCATCAAGACAAAATGGGAGATATCGAGGAACATCACTGAAGAAACCTGTGTGGAAGAACACTGGAAGTCCTTGAAATGGATTTGAAAAGAAGCCTGCACAACCGTATAAGGAAGGCGGAAGAAAGAAGACAAGGAAGGACTGGATCTCGATGGATACATGGAAACTGATAGAGGAGAGGAGGATGGTGGAGCAGAAGATAAATCAGTGCAAGGATGCACAACAACAAGAAGAACTGAGTACAATGTATAAAACACTACACTGGAAAAAGAAGTGAAGAAGAGTGCGCACAAAGACAGAAGACACTTCTACGAAACACTGGTAAGTGAAGCAGAACAGGCTGAAGGTAGGAGAGACAGAGACCTGACAACATTGTATCAAATAACCAGGTTACAGTCTATCTGAGAAGAGACCAACGCAGACGAAACCAATAGAAGGTGATGACGGAAATTTAATCACGAACAAAGAGAAACAAAGGAAACGATGGACTGACCACTTCAAGAAGCTCCTGAATCGACCACCACCTGCACTTCGTCCAGAAATACCACCTACAGCTGCTGAACTACAAGTGAACATAAATCCTCCAACAAAAATGGAAGTCCTGAATGCCATAAAGCTACTGAAATGTGAGAAAGCAGCAGGACCAGAAGGGATCCCGCCAGTAGCACTGGGAGCAGATGCAGAGACAACAGCAGACATGCTCACACCACTATTTCAGAAGGTGTGGCAGGAAGGGAAGGTACCTGCCAACTGGTTGGAAGAAGGGCTACCTTGTCAAACTGCCGAAGAAGGGAGACCTAAGTCTCTGCAAGAACTGGCACAGAATCACGCTCCACCATGTCCACCCAGAGCAAGCGAAATATTAAGCCGCATCATCCTGGAGAAACTAAAGGATGCGCTCGACTCAAAACTACGACCGGAACAGGCTGGCTGGATTCAGGAAGTACAAATCATGTGCGGACCAAATTGCAACACAATGCTGTGCATCATCATAGACCAGAGTATAGAATGGCAGTCAACTCTACACCTCAACTTCATCGACTTCGAGAAGGCCTTCGACCAAGGCGTCGACCGAGGAGTAATTCGGCATGCAGTTGCTTCAACACTATGGAATACCACAAAACCTTATCAATCTCATTCAACAACTATATGAAGATGCCAAGTAATTCACAATGGGAAGCTCAGCTCAGTGATGCTTTTGAAGTGAAGACAGGAGGGAAACAAGGTTGCCGCCTACTATCACCGATGATCTTCCTGGTTGTAGTGGACTGGATCATGCAGCAAACAGTGAGGAGCGAGAAGAGAGGGATACGCTGGACCGCGAAAAAGGATCTAGAAGATCTGGATTTCCCCAACGATGACTTGTGTCTGATGTCACACAAACTTGAAGATCTACAGGTGAAAACTAACAAGTTGATAGAAAAGGCAGCAAAGATGGGACTTCAAGTGAATATAGAGAAGACAGAGGTGATGAAGATACCCGACCAACAACAACAACAAACTCCAATCACCATGAACGAGAGAAACTTAAAGGAAGTAGCCTCCTTCACCTACACAGGGCAGCATCGTTTCATCTACAGGCGGTGGCACAGACGAGGATGTCAAAGTCAGGATCGGAAAGACAGCAAGACAGGCGTTCATTAGCCTGAAACCAGTGTGGAGATCTCCTGCACTCAGCATGCGGAACAAGATACGGATTTTCAACACCAACGTCAAATCAGTGCTTCTGTATGGCTCAGAGACTTGGCACGTTACGAAAGGGATTTCCAACAAACTACAGATATTCATCAACAACTGCCTACGCTCACTTGATAGTGAAGACCAGATGTCCAGAAAGAATAAACAACAAGGAACTCTGGGAACGAACCAACCAAGAACGTATCACTCAACAAATATGCAGTTGAAGGATGTGGAGATGGATTGGGCATACACTGAGAAGGCCGACTGGGGACATCAAGCGTCAGGCCAATTGCTCGAGTGGAACGCAGGTGAGAAACGACGAGTTGGGCGTCCCAGCTGAGGGTGACATGGAGGAGATCGTGTAAGGAGGAAATGAGAGCTTGTTGGTTGTTGTGGAGCCATGTTCAAAAGATTGCAGAGAACAGAGCGCATTGGAGACGTGCTACTGAAGCCCTATGTTCCATTAGGAACCCAAGGGACAAATAATAAAATAATAATAATAAAGTGTGGGACTCCACAGCAATGCACACTCACGACCCAAATAAGGATTGAACCTAGGACCTTCAACTCCTAGAGTCATTGAATTGGAATCCAATCGTCCACATTTTATTATTTTTGTCCACTCGCAATGTAGCGTGACCATCATCTAATGTGAAGTGACTTGGTGAATAATAATAATAACGCAAACGATAATAACACGATAAGACACTTAGACTGTACATAAATAGTGACTGTTCTCCCTCAGATCTGATACTTCAATTAGTCGCGAAAATCAGAAAGGAAGACAATTTATTTGATATAAGAAAGCATCATTTATGTACAGCTTTCAAGAACATACAGAACCACTACGCCAAAAGTTGATTTGCTGATTACGATTGGCCAACTGAAGGACAAAACTGTCCAATAAGGTTTTTCCCGACCACACAGTAACATGCCTTAGTAATCCACCACTAAGTGGCAAAGTGGGAGCTACGAGACCTGGAAGTACTCGGTGGAATCGTGAACGTGCCCTGTTGAGAAGTTCCATACTGAGAAGAATCACCTATTCAATGCCCCCAAATCCTCACTGATTCTCCAATTGATATCATTCCATTATTAATATCAACTTGATGGCAGAAGAATAGTGAACAAGGGCTTTTAAGTTGTCCGCACTCCAGGATAGGAATTCGGAAGGTTCATATCTTTCTGATAGTGCATCGCCATTGGAGTACAAAGTGGCAATCGAATAGTATGCATTGTCAAGCTCCAGTGTACCATCTAATTGCGTGGATTGATTTTCTAAAGAGAATGTTCGTATTTTCACAAAGAACCCTAAAACCTACGGTGAGCACGATAACACCTAAGGATGACTTTTAGCCTCATCCAGAAAAACAATGCACAAACAAAGCGACTTTCCTGAAACTATAAGCATCTGGTGTCACCAATAAGAATGGCATAGATCACTACTGGTGTACTCATATTTGTCAAGTTAAAAGTGGAAATCAGTCTTTTGAAAGCTTTAAACATTTATCAGTATCGACCCTTTTTTAGTCTACATCATATAAGTGACAGCAAACCCGTGATAGAATCTGGAAAATCCTACCTTGACGGGGAAGGAAAACGTTGTTGATTGTACTGATGTAAAACATGATTACATAGCGCCAAATTGACTACTCTTCATCCATTATACACCCACAATGACTCAGTTTACTATTAACTATTGATTTTCATCTTTCAGCTATTCGAAATCCCATTACGGGGGAGGGGATGTTTGACAGTGACTATATTGACCTGCTTAAACTGCCAAGTGAATATTACTTCAGACGAAATCGAGACACAAGTTCATCTGTATTAAGCGTACCATCAGGACATCCACCAGCGCCACCGACAACAGCAACGATGACGAAAAAGGTGACCAGTCAAAGAGAGGCGAGTGTACCAGCCAAGCCAACTGCAAACAAACCAACACCACAACCTCCGGTACAGCAGCCACCACAATCGAAACCACCATCAACTTCTCAAAGTAAACCGGAGGCGAAGGTTGAAAAAAATGGTCCACAAGCTGTAGGTGAGTATGTGAATTGAATTCATGGACAGTTGATTTACGCGTAAAATATCGATCGAAAGACAGGAAGACAAAAACAAACGAAATATCGGGTATAAAGGTTTAGGCAGAATTGTTTTCACTGCTTGAATTTCGGCCACTAGAAGTCCCGGCATCACGCTATCATCATCAATTATGCATTCTCACTCAGTCGACAGACTAGTAAGCTCTTCAGATTGCCCATCAAGCTCAAAATGCCAACAGCCTATGGGAAATGTCACCACCATTTTACACATTGTGCACTTAGCCATAATGTGCAAGTGTGTGTATAGACAATGAGCTGTAACCATTTTAAGTGACAAAACCAGGAGCTTAAAATCCTAGTGAATGCAGTGAGGGGTTCTAACTTACAACTCTACAATCTTAAACGCTGACAGAGGACAATGTCTCCACAATAAAACTTAATATATGTTTTACCTGCAACGGTGAATATGCCTACAAGAGAATGACGAAGGAAATCTACTTGATATGAAGAGAATACCTTTAGAGACACTCAGAAAGACCTTCAACTGTGAGGCAGGAAGCCCTGCTTGACTTGGGCTTCGTGCTTTTTGTCACTCGTCCGAGACCTCGATGGAATTGGCATCTTGTCTAAGTTTGGAACCTACATCACCTGGTCCTTCAGTCAGAGACGTTACCACTGAGCTATTCGGGCTGTGAGTGATTAAGTAAATGGATTGGTCACTTCAGAATTACCAAATTCAACTTGCCTAGTCCGTGGACCATATTTTGAATGTCCCCCGCGATACACCCATCATGTGAGGAAATAAATATCCTTGGCGGTAAAATGGAAAGCATAATTCTTCCTTCCATCATTGAAAAACGCCTAGGACATAGAAACAGGGAAGGCAGCATTAGTGTAGAATGCTGGTAATCCGCGGGAAACACATCGTTCAGCCAGCGGTATGACTTCGCTCTTCAACCCCGATCATAGTTTTATCATTTATAATATAACGGTAACTTCTTTCTGTCCTAACGCTATCCAACAAAGCTTTCTGGTACGGTTAATAGAACCTAAAGGAACAAGCGTTCTAACCTGTGTAGCTTGTTGGGTCACGGTGATATGCTAGGCCAACTACCATGGTCATCTATCTGCGTTGTATTCAAATTTGTCCACAGAAGTCATTTTCCACCTCAAAAAGCATATCATAACAGAATATTGGGGAGATAAATCATACCTGAACCTGGCATGTTAGTGAATCCCTTCAGATTGACATATTTCATGGGAGAATGGGAAGAAGAAATAGACATAAAAAGAACGACCTTAAAGTAGACAAGTATATGAGAGAATAGAGGGATATGAATAAAATTTAGTAAATATAACTCTCTTAGAGTAGACAACCCCCCCCCTTCCACACACCATGTGATTAATTAGGCAAGTATTCTGAGCTACTGGTCAAATGTCTAGCCAACGACGCAGATTTAATCCATCTTTAGTTGGATACCCGGCTTCCCGGACTACTCTAATGGCTATGGTATTTCAAGTCAACCTCAAAACACCTGATCGATGGGACATGTTAAAGCCGTATCTGCTAAGCGCCCCATACCCGAACGTCTGGTTTGGCAAGTGCATTCCGATGACACATCTATTGTGTGAAGTCTACTGATACTACCTGGCTGCCCAGACCTCCGTAGGTGGGGAGAGGCTCAAAGTTGTAACCGGAAGGTTGACACACACACCCCCTGGAACGACTGAGCCCAACCCAACAAACTTGGCACAAACGTTCCTCTCGATATACGTTGTTGCAAACTATCTGACCTGTCCAACGTCCTCGTGCATTTCAGTGCCAAACCACACGTCGGCATCACTTGGAAGACTACACTAGCAATGTATCATAGAATATTTGCCCGCTTAATTCTATCATTCATCAGTAGATGCGCTTCATTTACTATGCATAATTTAAGTCTTTCGACCACAAGGTTCTCCACGACCTTTAAATTTCTAACCTGTTCAAAGGAATTTGGAAGTCCACACAAGTTACAGCTAATCAGTGCTGATAAGGTACCGAAACCTAGCGACCACGCATAAAGCCTGCTTGGCTTTCTCAGGTTTACCGTTCCCGAGCTCCACTCAGATCTCTAATAATTAAAATTTTAGACACTGTTCGTCAGGCTGATTCCCCTGTAGTCCTCCCAAGAGAACTTCTCACCTGTCTACATGACCAGTGAGCGTGGATCATATCTGAATATCGTACACTTGTTAACAATCCGGTTAATCTGACCAATAATCCTCTACCACCGTCCTTAAATACCTCCAATATTACTCTGTCTCACCCTGATACTCTTCCTCCTTTCAGATTAATTACAGCCTTCTAGACTTCCGTCTGTGTTACTGATTTCATCTCAATGTTCTGATGACGTTCCGACTAGATAGCGCATAACGAAATAGTAACTGGAGGTCCCTCGAACTGTTCATCGCAGTGTTCCACTCATCGTTCCAGTTACCCTCTCCTGAGGGTGAATCACTGACCCATCCTACTACGCTATAGTCTCACTAACCACTGACCTCCTCACCCCAGTTTCCTCGATGATTTTAAATAGCTGTCCACTATCCCATCCATTTAGCTTTCGCTACCCACCATTGTTCTCAATCAGTGAGTAGACATTTGTCAATCTACATTTGAGTTGCTCCCACTCCTCATTGCACTCTGAGCCTGCAAGGATGCGTTTATGCACATCCATCAATTCAGAAGAAGCTGTTTCTGAGATTCACTGGATCTTTCTTACCACTTTCTGAGAGTCGACTTCTGTCTTCAACGTTATTTTTTTACTGCAGACTGTGCATGGCGCCAACCTTCTGGGTGAGTGATCTTGTTCTGTACCGACAACAATCTACTCAGTTCCTCTCTGAAATGAGCCTTAGTGTTCTGTCCTCATCGTCGCTGTGCACACACAATGGTCTAGTTGTTGTCATCCTTCCAAGCTCATTTAAACGCAGACATACACGTGCCCAAACCAGCTTGTTATCTCTATTCAGCACGTACTCCAAAAGAAACGGCAATCTTCCACCGACCCTCCGCAACCACTGTTGAAGTGGGTGAACTCCATGTCAGATATTGTCTATTGTTATGTTAGAAGCTCGTTCTAATCATGAACAGGTAGTTGTCTGAGCACAATTGTAGCAGGTGACCAATGTTATCTTCCTGTTCGGTTGGCATTCCTAGAGTAGTGCAACTCAAGTGCCTTTCTGTTTGACTCAGTCTACCTACTTGTGCACTGAAATTGTCCGCCTCTTCAACCCCATCTGAGCGATGTGCTTTCAATAGGAGACTAGATATTTTCCGGTAGAACTAATCCTTCACTCCATTCGAAGTACAGTCGTTGGGTGGATAAGCAGAGATTACGAAGAGACAATTGCGAGTGTCATCATTGTTTTTTTTGATCCTGACTGTGCTGTTCAGTTAAATACTGTATAGGTGACTGTCACCTGGATCCAGTCGAGCAGTGCACTTTCTGCCTGAGCACTTAATGCTATACATACACCTACAAGCTCGCAGGAAACGGCTATCAAATGCAGGAACTCGAAGGGTGGATTATGCTAATTTTTCATATTGGCAAGGTGTGGTTAAGTGAATACCTATGCGTGGTTCGTGTATGCGTGTATTACCAGCACAGCACGTTCATGACCCCTGAGATGCTATAGTTTTGATTAGGGAATATTGTTGGTCAGTTTGAGTAAGGGTGTAGATATGGAAGGCTCAGATATGTAGTTAGAAAGGCAATTTCGGGAAACCAAGGATGGCGTTTCGTAGTCTCAAAGAGTTGTCAAGTGCTGCAGAGCTGGAAGAAATTAAAGACGATGTAGGACCATTGGCCGAGGGTTGTGAAGGAAGATTAGATGTTAAGGATATGGAATGTGGGTAGTGAGCCGAGTGAACTTCAGTGGTAACATCGTTTTGGGGGCGGTTGACACTTCCTGGTACCCTACACCATCGAAGGTTATCTCCCCCTAAGGTACCTAAAAAGAAGGGTTAGTGCGTGACCATAAAGCCCAAAGAACATCTGCTTAAGGCCAATCACACATGACCTTACCAGTCGGTTGATAATTTGCCGGCACTGGTATGCTGCATGGTATAGGGGAATGTGTTATTTTTAGGATCAACCTTTTCTAACCCTCTTTTCTCCCGGGAAGGCAGCATCAGTGTGATAGTGCTGACCATCCAAAGGAAACACCATTCTGCTGTCATACCCCAGCCAGACAGCTCTTGTACATCCATCATAGCGTAAAAATTTGCATTAAAATGGCATCTACTAATCGTCTCACTATCCAACAGACCTTCCTAGCATGATAGGACCTCGAGGGAAGAAGCTATCCAATAGCATAACTCGTTGGGTCACTATGGTATAATGTAAGTCTGACCACCACATCAAGGTAGTAATTTGTTGGGAACTGTTTACCATTGTTTATTTAACCACTGTTTCGGGTCTCATCTTTAGTATATACGCAACACTTTCGTTAAACACTCAATACCAAAAACGATAATTTAGTGATTAATCTAACATTCTTGATTACAACTGGATTTCGGTTTTAGGGATAGTCATAAATTGACTGAAATAAGTGGAAAATTTTCAAATTAAATCGTACTTTCTCGGTCTACCAGTGAACTAGCAGTCTGTTAGTGCAAATATCAATAAACATCCCCTTTACATAAAAGTCTTATGATCCTTATTCTCTGTCTTTAGGCAATAAGTTTATTTCTCCCGAATCTTACAGCATTAACTTGCAGCGGTAGACTAACATTCCACATTTTAAGATGTCTCAGTAATCATCTAAAACCTGGAAATCACTGCATAACATGTCATCAGTCTGACAGAAGCAACCAGTTGTGTCCCAGGTTCTATTTCCCAAAAGAACTTCGTAAAACAAACTAGCCATTGAAAGTGGTTGGAGACCCTAGGTGATATGGCTCAGAACAGAAGTCAGTGGCGCAGATGTATACACACATTATCCTCATCTTAACAACGCTTTACCGAATCTCACCATTTTGTCACTCCTCTTTCCTTTCTTCTCGTGCTTTATATTTCTTTTGACTGCATCCACTTATCTCCATCATTCGCCTCACTACCTTTTTACTTGATGTGCTGATATGAGGTGTGGCAACTCGGACCGTTACGCAGTAATGCCTGGTCCTATGTTGATAATGATGTTGATGATGAGCCATTGAAAGCTCTCTCTACTATGTTATAAATTAAAAGTTTGACGGGTTATGAGTACTTTAAAATATGAATTACAAACACCGTGTTAGCATTACTTTTCATTTTAAAAGGGTACATTTAAACACCACATCAATATTTGCAACACACTAATAGCAAAAGAAAAGATTTAAAATGTCTTAGCGTTTGAAATATAACGTACACTTTGGAGAAAAGTAGTCATATCAACCTCTTTTTATATTCCAGAGAAGAAGGTTGTCCGCCCGAAGAAAGTTGAAATGCCGGAAGAGAAAAAGCCGCCATCGGAAACAGCACCAGTCACAGATAGTAAATTAGCCGACAAAAGTGTAACTCCACCACTGCCAATTACTGAAACAAATGCACCAACGAAAGACACACCACCAGAAAAGTTAGAAGAAACCGTAGAGGCCAGCCCTAAACCCATTCTACCACAACTAAACACTGAAAAAAAATCATTAACTGAACAACAACAACAACCTCAATCACTAAGTGAAGAACCAGTACCTTCACAGCCTGCAACACCTTTGAAAGACGATACAGTAATAAAAGAAATAGTCGAAGAACCAACTCCACCTATTGCCAGTGATACACCACCCCCAGTTGCAGAAACAAAACCACCTGCTGACATTAAAACACCTCAAGCAGCCGAAGTCCAAATACCGAAGGACGAATTACCGTCAGAACCCTCTGCAGAAGCACCAAATAAAGAGTAAATATGAGTGGTCCTCGTAACACCCACGTTCTACTGGTTTAGTAATACATTTGCCTGCTGATCAGATCATTCTCATATCTTTATTAGAAGGAAAGTCTTCTCAATTTTATGGCGCATTTCGTTCTCAATTCCCCTATTTAAACTTAACCCCGGGTGATGGTCAAATTTTTCGATTACTAGTGATTCAGGAATTCTAAACTTTCGGCTTAATGAGATTGATCATGACTTTCGTTTAATGTTTCTAATATTTCGTTATAATAATTATATCAAAAATCAGCACGCCAGATACATTCTGAAATATTTTTATCAGTATAATCACTGCTCGTTATGAGACTCGCCTCGAATAACGAGAAATGTATACCGCCTTTTAGGTATGCGATCAGTCGAGATAATGATCGGAAGTTCATTTCATCCAACACCGCAAAAACTTAATCAAAACGTTCGACTAAAAGCGTAAAGACTCATGCTATATTGATAATATGAAAAACGTACTGCTGCTGGGGGTTTTAAGTAAACTTTTAAAATTATCAGGAAAATGATTTCGTACACAAACCAATATGGTAATTAAGACAGATGAATTGATTATCTTACGTTGAATGACTTCAGTAAATAATGTAATCATATGTGGCTCAATTGAGACATGAACAGTTCAGCAGAAAGATTCTTGACTGCAGTATTGAGTGGTATATGTTCCAGTCTCCAAGCAAGAAAACAAAAACCGGTGTAGACAAGCTTGAGAAATATTGAAGTACTAGGCAAGTCGACTGGTAAGGTTTTTAACCTTCGTCTGACGTTGTTTGGAAATGCACTGGACATGCTCAGCCACCGCCTACCTCGACGTATCATGGTAGGGGGAGCTGGATTAGGTTGGGAGTGGGTTCAGCGTCGTTAAACTAACACAACGCGTACCAATAAATAAGGTCCTTAACTGTTGGTTTGAGTCGTGTATGGAGGTGCTGACTACCTGGCTAGGACCTCCGAGACGGAAGGAATCAGTGGTTGAGGACTCCTGGTGATTTGGCTGAAAATTAGTTGCAGTGGCGCAGAAGTATTCACTCCAAGACATCCTCTTAAGCTTGAATATTCGCGCTAACTTTCATCTTCAAAATGCTTATTTTTTTTAACACAAATTTGTCCACTTTGATATCACTCCTATTCCATCCACCTGTTCTTCATATACTACTGTGAAGTATGGCAACTTGAATCGATGAACTCGTGTGCGAGGTTCTGCATTGATTGTGTCTGTAGACAGGCTTTGTTCATGAATGCGACCATCATGAAGTATGGCTTTAGGGCAGCCTACTGATGGATCACCAACAACCAATTTTGGACGAGGAATGTCCTCCACATAGTCATTATGACCTCGGTTTTACATTTGCATATGTTTATTAGATGCATCACACAGTGAAACGTCTCAGACATAATTTATTGTTCATATCCAGTAAATAATATTGCTTCACTGTGACACGCTTAATAAACGGACTAAAACGGGATTACAATCGACCACAGTGTTTAGGTTTCACTTTTATATTCACTTTGGTTTAATTTCTTCGACTGACAGCAGCTACATTGGTGCAGCGGTCAGGCTAGCCTATCGTAGTGCCCCAACCAGCTATGGTAATTAGAGAAACTGTTTTAGGTCTTGCAAGTCAAGAGAGATATACTGAACAGAGAAACTAAATGCGGCCGTCATCACATCAATAACCTATACCAAAGTGTGTCCGAGTATGAATTTGTATTACTAACTACATGGAAGTGCGACGCTAGTAAGTTGCTTCCTTCTGGCAATCAGCATTCTAGCTGGGTCACCTTCACCTACTGAAGAAGGATTTGAATTCTTTGGCCTTAAAACTGTACTCTCCCATCAATGGTGGAAATATCCTTCAAGTACGGACGTAACTCTACAAGATTCAATACCAACCAATCTCAAGCCGATATCAACTAAGATATGTGGCTAAATAAGAAGTCTACTTTTTTCTTTGATAACTTCAAGAATACATCAACTTCCACGGCGAGAACTACCAGGAAGTACCAACCCGAGCACAACCAATGAGCCATATACAAAAGCCATCCTAACGACAAACTATCTCTTATCTCTTCCAGTGACTACACACAACTTCTGTCGCCAACATTATAACGATTCGAAGGATCGTCTAGTAAAAAATACTGTTACCAATATATCAAACAAGATACTCTTATGTCAAGTTACACTAATATAGTGCCAAAGTCTTACACTGATGTTTCACTGAATGTTAGTTTTATACGCATCCTGACTCGACCGATAGCTACTACCTTGACGTGGTGGTCGGGCTTGCATATCACAATGACCCAACGAGCTATGCTGGTGGAACGCTTGTTCCCTCGAGGTCCTACCATACCAGAAAGGTCTGTTGGGTAGTGGTTAGACGAAAAGCAGTTACCGTTATAGTGTAAATTGCTACACTATGATGGGGGTCTGAGGGCGAAGTCGTACTGCTGCTAGCTGGATGGGGTGTGACAGCAGTAAGGTGTTTCCCTTGGATGACCAGCAGTGCCAAGCTGATGCTGCCTTCTCAGTGGAAGGGGGGGTTAGAAAAGGTCGGCCCCAAAAATAACACACTCCACCACGCCCCACGGTCTGCCGGGCCGGCGGTGTTGGTTCACTTGTCGTTTCCTTTCGACCATCCGGCCCCAAAAATACAAAATTCAAAATAATCATACTCAAAAGGCTGGGTGTGACAGGCCTCAAGCAGATGTCCGATGGGCTCTGCGGTCACACAAATCTCTTTCAGGTACCTTAAGAAGAAATAGCCTTCCACGGTGTGGGCAGCCGGGAAGTGTCAACCGCCCTCACAACTCTGTCAGCACCCAAGTTTCTTCTGACTGCTATCCTCCTCCTCCATCATTACCTTCTAATCTTCCTTCACGTCTCTTAATTAATGATGCTGCATCATCTTCAATTTCTCCTACCTCTGCAGCCTTCGACAACGATCTGAGTCCACAGAACAGCATCCCTGGTCTCCTTAAACCACGCTCCAAATTACATATTGGAGCCTTCAATGTCCGCACCCTCCGTCAAATTGGCCAACAGGCTTCGTTGGCAAAGACTCTAGCAACTCGGGCATGGATGTGTGCTGTGTTTGTGAGACACGCATACAGGACCCAAGTGTGGTTATTCACCTGACCTCTCCTGACCAATCTGGTGAATCTGCAAAATTCACCCTTCGAGTTTCTGGAGATTCGATAGCTAGCTCTCGTGGTCTTGCAGGTGTAGGTATAGCATTAAGCACCAGGGCAGAAAACTCACTACTAGACTGGATCCCAGTTGATAGTCGCCTCTGCGCTATGAGGCTGAACGGCACAGTGAGAACTAAAAGGAATAGTGAGACTCGCCGTTGTCTCTTTGTAATCTCTGCTTACGCACCCACTGACTGTAGTTCGGATGAAGTGAAGGACGAGTTCTACCATAAACTGTCTAACCTCCTCTCGAAAGCCAAACGTTCGGACGTAGTGGTTGTTGCAGGTGACCTCAACGCACAGGTGGGTAGACTGAGTGAGGCAGAAAGGCACTTAGGTGGCACTTTCGGAATCCCAGCTGAACGTACAGATAACGGTGATCGCCTATTACAACTATGCTCAGATAACCGCCTATTTTTAGCCAGCACAAATTTCAGACATAAAGAAAGGCACTGTCTGACCTGGCGTCCACCGAGCTCGACTCAGCGATGGACACAGATAGACCACATTGCTATTAGTCATCGCTGGAGAGGATCGGTGGAAGACTGCCGCTCCTTCTGGAGTACGTGTTTGGACAGCGATCATGCGTTGGTCCGAGCACGTATATGCCTGCGTCTCAATGGACGTAGAAAAAATTTGGCAACAAAACCACTACGAGTTCTGCTGGACAACGAAAACACCAAAGCCGTGTTCAGTGAGAAGTTGGCTAGGCAGTTATCGGAACAAAAGACTGTCACTCATCCAGAAGAAGCTTGGTGCCATCTTCAGTCTACTGTAAAAGCAGCACTGGAGACTGTAGCCGACTCCAAGATAATGGCTAAAAAGAGCCAGTGGATATCAGCAGCTTCTTCCAAACTAATGGATGCACGTGAATGCATCCCTGCAGGCTCTGAGTACAATGAAGAGCGAGCGCAACTTAAAAATAACTGACGAAAAGTCTGCGCAACGATCGTGAACAGTGGTGGGCAGCAAAGGCTAAAGAGATGGAAAAGGCAGCGGCGATCGGTAACAGTAGACAGTTATTTAGACTTATTAAGGAGACTGGGGGGAAATGGTCAACAACAGTTAGTGAGGTTATAGCGGAGAAGGACGGATCTGCGATTCACTCGCAGGGAAGGCGACTGGGACGATGGGCAGAACACTTCGAGGAACAGTTTAACTGGCCTCCAGCCACGATTGCGCTGCCCGCTATCCAGTCGGACCCTGAATGGGACATAGAGACAGGTCCCCCAACACTAGAAGAAGTTGAGAAAGCGGTAGGTAGCCTGAAACGGGAAGGGCAGCAGGACCAGACGGACTACCTGCTGAGGTATACAAGAATGGTGGTAGAGTGCTCTTAGTCAGGTTAACGGAAGTGTTAGCCAGTATATGGGAATCAAATACGATCCCCTCCGACTGGTCTAAGTCACTGATCATCCCAGTCTTCAAGAAAGGCGAGAAGTCCTCTTGTGATAACCACAGAGGAATCAGCCTGACGAACATAGTGTCTAAGATCCTAAGTTCTATAATTCTTCGACGCCTGAGTGGAGCTCGGGAACAGCAAGCCCGAGAAAATTAGGCAGGCTTTAGACCCGGCCGCGGGTGTATCGACTAAATATTTACGCTGCACCAGTTTGTGGGACATAGGCATGCTTACCGACGCCCAACACTAGCTGTATTTCTTGACCTGAAGGTGGCATTCGACTCCGTTGATCGAGAAGTCTTATAGCAATGTCTCCCACCTAGAATATGCAGATGACATAGTCCTGTTAGATGAAGACGCTGACAAGATGCAGTCATCTGAACACTCTGAGTGAAAATTTGAGAACGTCTGGGATGCGATTTTCACCACCCAAATGCAAATTGTTGCTCCAGGATTGGTCTCCAACGGTGACACGGTTAGTAATAGAGTGTAGTGATTGTGTCGACTACTTCACCTAACTGGAAAGTAGGATCAGCCCTATCCTGGTGGCTCCGTGGTCGATGACATTCCTACACAGATACAAAAGGCTTGGCTGGCTTTTGCCAACTTATGCCACCTATGGCGCCGCCGTGATATCCGATTGTCCATTAAGGGTCGAGTGTACTGCACAGCAGTCCGCCCTGTTCTACTGTATGGTTGTGAAACATAGCCATTCAAGGTGGAAGACATGAGAAGGCTTCATGTGTTTGACCACCGTTGCCTTCGTAGTATAAGCCGTATTCCGTGGCGTTATCACGTAGCGTAGACGTCAGGTATAGTTTAAGGGAGTAGAGGTGAATCTCTTGACGAGGTTATGAACCTTCATCGACTGAGATGGTTGGGACACGTACTAAGTATGCCTAGTCACCGACTGCCTCGTCACACAATGTTGGCCGAAGTAGGCCCAGGCTGGAAAAAGGCCCGAGGTGGCCAGACTAAAACATGGCACCAATGTATGAAGCCTCCGACTGTTGGTTTGGGCCATGTATAGCGAAGCAGACTAGTCAGTTGGGGTCCGCAGGACAGGAGGAACCAGTGGTTGGAGAATAGGTGATATGGTTCAGAACCGATGTCAGTGGCGTAGATGTATACACACATTATGGTCACCTTAACGACGCTACACCGAATTTCAACATTTTTTCATTCCTTTTCTTTCTTCTCGTACTTAATATTTCTTTTGACTGCATTATCTTCATCTTGCGCCTCACTGCCATTTTATTTTATGTACTGATATGAGCTGTGGTAACTCGGACCGCTACGCAGTAATACTCGGTCCCATGTTGATATTGGTGATGATGATACGCATCCTGAACTGCGCCGACAAAGAGTGAAATGGCTGGATACACCGACCATTGTGCTTATCTGTGAAGCTGTGTCACACCTGAGATCTCACCTAGGATACAGAACACCTGTTTGGTGTTTCTGAATAAGCATCATCCATAACGCCAGAGATTTCCGATTACCTCAAAGGGTAGTTTAATAAACAGTGGCTCAACTTGTCGTCCTCCATAACTACTGAAATACAGTCGCTGACGGTGGCAGACATTAGGTTCCAAGATTTCGATCATGAGCCACAAGACGAACAGTGTTTAAGCTGTGGTTCATCGGTTTATAAAATTGACTTCCAACCAGTAGGCTATAGGTTCAAATCTCACTCCACCTACCAGTCTGAGCGGCCAAGAAACACCATCAGCCTCAACATAACAGGCATGTTTCATTGCTTACTGTACGAACGTGCACCGAGTTGCTGAGTGGGTCCCCATTGAATCTAATAGTATTCTTTTCTGTTCACTTTATCTTTTTAAAGCGTGGCAATTGGAGCTGGTGCACTTCCGTGCAAAACGCTTTGCCGATTCACCTATCCTAGTTAGTATGCATAATCTTCAGAGCCAAAGTACAGTGAACGTTTTAATCAAGGTGATACTACATTCATGCATGAAATGAAGTAAAAAACCACCACTGAATATCGAATATCAATGCTCATGTAAATTAAGAAAAAAGAGATGCCTTTTTGATTTATCATTTTATTCTAAATGCAGTCATGATAGTGATATAAAATAACGTCTACTAATATTATGATTAGATCGCACGGCCAAATCACTCCACAAATGTTGTTTTTCTTCACTAAACGTTTTTAACCACGCAATGCACAGGCAGTACATCTGTAAAATCACAAAATTCAAACGATAGAAAAAGTAGTTCATCAATAGGCAAATACAGAAATGTATCCATTTAGGTGTTGGAAATATTATAAGTTGGTTCTTGCGTTTTTTTCCCCTCTAAAACTACACTGATTGAACTACGTACGAATCGAATTAACAGAGCGGACAAGTGAAGGAACTGTGAGAAAATATAACTCATTCAAGAACTGCACCAAGCAGAACGTTGATTATTTGTTTCCGCAAACTACTGAATGATAAGTCAGCTAAATGATGTCTAGAGCAGGTGGTCATCAGAATGAAAGCACTAGCTTAATCCAAAGTTGCAGTATGAAATTTCGAAGCTTGTTAATTACTACAAACGTTCTTAGTGAGCCTAAGATCTTTGCAAACACTTTTTAAATACCGTAATTGTGAGGCTACGTTTCCGATCAGTTGCATGAGCAGTGCGAACAACAGGCACATTTGCAAGTGTAACTTGGTCCACTGAATGTTTAATGTACCAGTCTACAAACCACACTTATTACGATGCTACCCGATTGCCTAAGTCAAAAAAAGATGGAACGGGGTTCGAACCTGAAACGCCTTCGATATATACGCACACTTAGAACAGTCCTATACGTATGAAAACAAACGTTTCAAGTATGATCCGTGATTTCCATATGAAATAAACAAAGATTCACTTAACAGAATGGATCTCTTAGAAATCTATCTAATGAGGAAATAAGTGGAATTCAACAGTTCGAAGTAAAGAACTGATTGGTGGTAAGTGACTTGCGAGAGCACTGTCATGGTTTGTGTGAGGACGGGAAATCTTTGGGTGCTCATATCATAGCAAACGGTTTTCCTGCAGAACCCCTTCCTGAGTCCTTAACTTTAGGGTTTGGTCCGTATGGCCTTATTCCCACAGTCACTCAAAACCAAAGTGGAGTCATAGGATATTAGTCTTTTTCGGGATCGTTAAGTCCATATTCACCACTGATGTGAAATAAAAGTTCCTCAACCACGAAACATGGATACTCTAGTGATAATCAATAAACATCTACTCTTTACCTTTTGATTTGTGAAAGCAATCCATTCACTTGAAGGTAGTAAATAGGACTTTCCTAACTAACAACCAAGTATGCATGTTTCAACAGAACGAGTTTCAGTACTAACCAAGAGTCGATTATACCAGGAAACTTGGAAAGAGTAAAAGAATAAACCCCAGAATAGTTACACCAGTTCAACTGCTGGACTATACTGTACTAATTTAGCAAAACTATCTAACTGCCAAAAACTTGGTACATGGATTGGTATTCAAATCAGTGACCCACTGATTAAAATACGAACGCCTAAGCCAAAAAATAAGTCATTACATTACGAGTTGACGTAGACAGTGTTCCAGTTGGCAAATGATATGCTGATAAATACACAAACAATTGTATGAACCATTTTAGATATCAGTGGAATAAGATGTTGACACACACCAAAATCTTAAATCACTATTCCTTTCTGCTACAGAACATTTTCCCTCATTCGAAAAAAATCACTAGTTGGAAAACACATTTGTTAACAATAAAAGTATCAAGTTATTACATATCCTACCTAATACTGGCCACTAGATGTTGTACTCCAAAAACGAAGAGACTCAATATCATTGGCAGTCCACCGGCCATAGCAACTGCACCCATACGACGCTTCGCAGGATCTTATGAAAGAAAAAGAAGAAATCTGGTACATGCGATTAAAAATAAACTTCCAAATACATATTAGGTTCCATATCTATAGAGTGAACAAGCAAGAAACCACTGAGGAACATTAGCGAGAAAGGACAAAAATCTACTCGCGATAATTATCCCACAACGTTTGTTTAGAAAATCATAATGCCACTTTCATATACGTTCATATCATGTCCCCTGAAACTAAGCTCCAAACTACATATCTGAGCCTTCCATATCTACACCCTTACTCAAACTGACCAACAATATTCCCTAATCAAAACTATAGCATCTCAGGGGTCATGAACGTGCTGTGCTGGTAATACACGCATACACGAACCACGCATAGGTATTCACTTAACCACACCTTGCCAATATGAAAAATTAGCATAATCCACCCTTCGAGTTCCTGCATTTGATAGCCGTTTCCTGCGAGCTTGTAGGTGTATGTATAGCATTAAGTGCTCAGGCAGAAAGTGCACTGCTCGACTGGATCCAGGTGACAGTCACCTATACAGTATTTAACTGAACAGCACAGTCAGGATCAAAAAAAACAATGATGACACTCGCAATTGTCTCTTCGTAATCTCTGCTTATCCACCCAACGACTGTACTTCGAATGGAGTGAAGGATTAGTTCTACCGGAAAATATCTAGTCTCCTATTGAAAGCACATCGCTCAGATGGGGTTGAAGAGGCGGACAATTTCAGTGCACAAGTAGGTAGACTGAGTCAAACAGAAAGGCACTTGAGTTGCACTACTCTAGGAATGCCAACCGAACAGGAAGATAACATTGGTCACCTGCTACAATTGTGCTCAGACAACTACCTGTTCATGATTAGAACGAGCTTCTAACATAACAATAGACAATATCTGACATGGAGTTCACCCACTTCAACAGTGGTTGCGGAGGGTCGGTGGAAGATTGCCGTTTCTTTTGGAGTACGTGCTGAATGGAGATAACAAGTTGGTTTGGGCACGTGTGTCTGCGTTTAAATGAGCTTGGAAGGATGACAACAACTAGACCATTGTGTGTGCACAGCGACGATGAGGACAGAACACTAAGGCTCATTTCAGAGAGGAACTGAGTAGATTGTTATCGGTACAGAACAAGATCACTCACCTAGAAGGTTGGCGCCATGCACAGTCTGCAGTAAAAATAACGTTGAAGACAGAAGTCGACTCTCAGAAAGTGGTAAGAAAGAGCCAGTGAATCTCAGAAACAGCTTCTTCTGAATTGATGGATGTGCATAAACGCATCCTTGCAGGCTCAGAGTGCAATGAGGAGTGGGAGCAACTCAAATGTAGATTGACAAATGTCTACTCACTGATTGAGAACAATGGTGGGTAGTGAAAGCTAAATGGATGGGACAGTGGACAGCTATTTAAAATCATCGAGGAAACTGGGGTGAGGAGGTCAGTGGTTAGTGAGACTATAGCGTAGTAGGATGGGTCAGTGATTCACCCTCAGGAGAGGGTAACTGGAACGATGAGTGGAACACTGCGATGAACAGTTCGAGGGACCTCCAGTTACTATTTCGTTATGCGCTATCTAGTCGGAACGTCATCAGAACATTGAGATGAAATCAGTAACACAGACGGAAGTCTAGAAGGCTGTAATTAATCTGAAAGGAGGAAGAGTATCAGGGTGAGACGGAGTAATATTGTAGGTATTTAAGGACGGTGGTAGAGGATTATTGGTCAGATTAACCGGATTGTTAACAAGTGTACGATATTCAGATATGATCCACGCTCACTGGTCATGTAGACAGGTGAGAAGTTCTCTTGGGAGGACTACAGGGGAATCAGCCTGACGAACAGTGTCTAAAATTTTAATTATTAGAGATCTGAGTGGAGCTCGGGAACGGTAAACCTGAGAAAGCCAAGCAGGCTTTAGACGTGGTCGCTAGTGTGTCAACCAAATGTTCACCCATCGCCAGGTTCTGGAATAGATACACCGACACCGGAAACTAGTTGTGTTTATCGACCTGAAGGCACCATTAGACCTCAGTGATCCACAGGTCTTCTTGCAGTGTCTTTCACTGAAACGGTGCAGAATAAGTACCGTGTCAGCGGTGTGGAAATCAGATGTAGAGTTCTAGGGAGAAGAGGAAAATAAGTTGATGAGTTTGTTAAATTTTAACCGCTTAGGTAGGTGGAACATTCGTTATGCATGCCTAGTTACAATCTGCCTCGTCACACAATGTTAGCTGAAGTAGACTTCGTTGAAAAAAGTTTACGACCGGCCAGACTAAAATATGGTATCAATGCTACATCTGAGCCGTCTATGGAAATGTAGACTTCCCAGTTGGAGCTCACGTGGAAACGGAAACCAGCGGTTGAAGAAGGTAATCGATGTGGCTCATAGTCCATGTCATTGGTGCAGACTGATACACACATTATTCTATTCTCAATCGGCATACTGAATTTCAGTAGTCTTATTCCCTCTCGCTCTCTTTTCACAACTTTCTGCTACTTCGAACTGCTTCTTTGTGTCCTCTCGGTGCATTCCCGCTAGATGTGCTGACATGAGGTGCGGCAACTTGAGCCACGCACTAACACCAGTTTCGATACTGATAGTCTCTGAATGGCGGTAAGAGATTTTAGAGATGAGTTCGATCATCCTAAAACACTTAGTTTTTACTTCTACACCAATTATGGTGAAAGTTGGCTTACGTCAGTTTACATGACTGTTTGTTTGCAGACACCCTCGGTCGCTGAGTCAGTAATGGCAGGACAGCTGTGTACTCAGTTTTTATCGACTCTACACATTAGTATAATCAGACAAATCTTCGGCCTTCCTGGGGTTTCTTTGTCATACTTAAGACTGATGCCGCTGCTCAACTAAGTCACCCAGTCGACACCAATATGAGACTTACCACTGCTGGGTAACAGTCTAATTTGCCAGCCTGGACTGGCACATTAAACTACTTAAGGATCTATTCAATCGAGTAGCACAGAGACGACTGTCGGCTAGTATCAAGCCGAGGAGTGCGCTTTCTGCTCTACAAATTAATGTTATGCTTACGCTAGCGACTTCACGAGAGCTAATCAGTCTCAGGATTACAGGCAAGGTGAATTTTAAGGAAGACCGGATGAGGTTAACTTAATAACTACACTTGGGTCCTGTATACATATCTCAGAAATAGAGCATACATCCGTGGCTTGAGACTGCAAAGTTTCGGTGAGCGATGCTTGCTGTTTGATTCGCCAAAGAGTTTCGGCGTTGAAAGCTCCATGAAACTAATAGCGTGATCTTAGGAGACTAGGAATGAAGTTTTTATGGTTTCGATCGTTGGCAATGGTCGCTGAGTGAGGTTATAGAGGTTGTAAAAAGCTCAGTATTGGGATCGGGTGAAGGCGTAGCAGAAAACAAAAGTAAGTGAGAGGTTATGCTTAATTGGATCTCGTATGCTACTGAAAGCATGTTGGCGGTTGACACGTCCCGGCTGTCAACATCGATAAAGTTGTTTCTGCGGGGCATCTGAAAAATAAAATGAAATGGGTTTTCAACCGCACAGCCCAAAGGATATCTACTTGAGGCCTAACAGCCTTTTAAGGGTTGGTGGATTGTGATTTCGACGCTTATTTTATTATTATTATTATTAGTCCCTTGGGTTCCTAGTGGAACATAGGGCCTCAGTAGCACGCCTCCAGTGACCTCTGTTCTCTGAGATCTTTTGGACTTGGTCCCACGGCAGCCCAGAAGCTCTCATTTCCTCCTCGCACGACCTCCTCCATGTCACCCTTGGACGTCCAACTCGTCGCTTCCCATCTGGGTTCCACTCGAGGGCCTGACGCGTGATGTCCTCAGTCGGCCTTCTCAGTGCATGGCCAATCCATCTCCACTTCTTCCTGCATATTTGTTGGGTGATAGGTTCTTGGTTGGTTTTCGACGCTTATGCTGGACATTAAAAGCCCGTTCTTGGAGCCGACCTTTGCTAACTCCCGTAGGGAAGGTAGTATCAGCATGATTTTGCTGATCATTTAAGGGAAACATCACAGTTTTCATACCCGTCAGCCAGCGGTACGCCTTCACCCTCGGACACCTATCAGTGTGTAACTTCCCTTTGTAACGGCAACTTTTTAATTTACCACTATCAAACAGACCTTTCTGGAATGGCAGAACCTCGAAGGGACAAGGGTCCCAGAGAGTAGCTCGGATTATTGCGACACCCAAGCTAGACCGCCACGTTAAGGCAGTAGTTACCGGTCAGGTTGTTACACTGGCAGAAGTCGGGAAATCCAAGTTCCCCCACATGGATAAGAGCAACCATCTGAGAATCCAGGAAGTGATGTCATGTTTCGTTCCAACCGTTCATAACCTTTTTTCAATCCTAAACCTACTTAACGCAATCGTGAAATGGGGGTAAAAGTTGACTAGAGATCCACAACGTGTCTCAGATATTTGATTCGATAATTTAACCAAGTCTTGACCTGGCTGCCTTGTAAAATGGAATGGCTAAACCGTTTTCCAACTTTTTTACTCACTTTAGGTTACCGATAGTACAGATAAGTTGGAGTTACATCTACGCACTTAACAGACGCTAAAGATGTGAGAAGCAACCCCATGACAATCTCAAAAAGTCCTAATTCTTTGTATTTTCGCTTGAGAGGATTATTACTTATGTGATCTGGGTAGATTTGAAGATAAGAACGCATAATAACCGCTATAATTCGACACCCTTGGTTAACTAAATTCCAAACAACCACTTACAAGTTGTTCTGTAGTCACTGAAGTTATCGGAATAAAGTGGGCAGATATAGAGCTCTCAATAAAAGACTATCCAAACTAGGGAGAGAAACAGCTAGGAAAGGACTAAATAAATGCACTCAAGTATGCAGGTGCTCACTCAGATCCTCCTTGAAAAGCAACTGAATTTGGATGCCAAAACGCTAACTTTGCCTTAGCCTCTACCTAAATAAATGAGGTATGATAACTTTCAAGCAACTCACAAGGAAGTTCGGCGGTTTTTAAACCCCCCATTGTGAAACCACAATATTTGCCTGGTGTTAGTTCTATTTCTTTTCTGAAATCACTCTTAAAAACTTTAAATTTTGACGAAAACCACTGCTAGACTTATTCACCCAATGAACATAACAATCTTACCAATGAGCATGTTAAAGATAAGGTTTGTATGTGAACTTTCGGTCTGAGAGCGTAGGAAATGAGTTCTCAAGCTTTGAAAACAATATACCCAAAAGTCAACTTACAATACAACACAGACGGACCAACAAGCGTTATATGTATATAGTATAGTTGCACTAACCTCCAGTAGAATAACCATTGAAATACAGCAAACGGCCAATAAGAAATATTATACCACAGGCAGTATACGTGCGCTACATTGAGGAATATAAAAAGAAACATTAACATACCGGATAACGCAAACCGCCAACAAACAGCGTCATGAGGAAAAGTGGCAGAACTTCTAAACTGAGAAAGTGTGAGTGATACCAATGAGACGTACTAATTCTGGTGCCCCCTCTGAATACAATTGAAGACTTTGTTAGTTGGATGGTACATAAGAGGTAACTACAGAAAATTTGATTAGAACATCTGAAACCATACTTCGACATTGTGTTCCTTACGAGCCTTTATAACCCGTCGTATGAAGTACATGTTCAGCCCAAATGCACCTACACCCACAAGGATCACACCTCCATAGTAACGAGGGAGGCAAAGAGGAAGAGAAGTCAAAGGAGGAAACACATGCTTCGACAACGACATTCTTGCTTTAAGATACGAGCGCGCAGAAAAATTCTGCTAGTCAAAATTGTACATATGACCCAATGTCCAATGAACATTACGTGTTTCAAACTCAATTTTCATTATGTAGAATTAGTGATCAGTGGTCCCTTAAGTTCTTCATCCATCTTTCTGGGGGACGTTTTACGCCTGGAATGCTCACAACTGTCTTCCAGATTCCCAAAAACCTGGATGGACAGAGATAATCGACTATTAATTGATCTGTTCTCAAGACGGAAAAACCCCCCAGTTACAGCTCACTGGCACCGAAGGACTCTGGACGTGCACCGCATCTCATTTTGAAAGAATCAGAGGATGGGGCTGTAACAACTGCTGAAGGAGGGGAGTTCCACAGTTTACAGACTAATGCAAACAAGTTAGCATGGATATTTGTCCATACTCTCATGCTCTGCTTCTAACGGGTAACCACTACGATTGCGTTTCTGACTAAAGCTTAAGAGGAATGCGTCAAGATGAAGGGGATTAGAGGTAATGTGGTGCACTATGATCATATCACCTCTGATCCTTCGGCATTGTGCTGGACCCAGCTTAGGAGCAACTAAGCGGTCCAGATAAAGTTTGCACCGTGATCTAATCACTTTTTGGTATCTCCCCTGTGAACCCGCCCTGGGGTGGCTATGTCCTCTAAATGTGGGGACATCATTAGCTAATTTCTGCCATAAGGGCGAATATAGAGCCCTTACATTGTGGTGAAAAGAGCCGGGGTTAGACTAACTAGGTATCGCGAAAGAACCCCCAAAAGTCAATAGGCCTTGTTGGCTGCAGCGTGACAGTGAAGTGTAGCTCCGAATGCGTCACTTTAAGTAACTCCTAGATCTTGCTGTGTTTGAGTGGCATATTTATTTCACCCGGTGGTGCTCGCGCACTGTATTAACGCAGACAGGTGATTGTTCTCGTGACCCGAGGAGTTTCCTGAGCTCAGCCTTGCAAGCTTTTGAGGGACAGCAACTCGAATTATTCCTAGTTTACGTAACTCTTATACAACGGGAAATGATGAAAAATGTTTGGTATCCCGGCCATCAAAATTATCAAATGGATGGAAATCGGCAGAAAACTGCTTGTCTGGGAGCTTCAATATTATTATATCGTCGAACACATTCGGATTCGTATGTTGATCTTCACTTTCCGTCTTCATTCTGAAAGGTATCATGTTTCGAATGCCAAATGTCAGTGCAACTAGTAATTAGAAAACAGTTTATCGCGAATGCGCCACCTGTAAATTCTTGCTGGATTTTAAAATTATATTTATGAATTATTCAACATATCCAGTTGACTTCAGTATGATTAATGCATTTATTATGATGTAAACTAGATCATGAAAAACGTCTTTTTGATTCCCCATTTCCTTACAAATGATAAGCAGTAGATCCGGCTGATATGATATTGGACACATATAGACGGGCTTCTGACACCTGTGCAGGAACGAGAAGCTTGCATGTTTGGACCTTAATATGAAAGCTCTTTCAGGATTTGTCCTGGTGCGAACTTGACAGACGCAAAGATCAATCACTAATTATTCGGACTTGTTATACACCCACGAATACGAGACCAAGGAAGAACACGATAGCGTAGTCGGATGGAATAGTATATTTGGATAGTTGTGCCATAATACCGGTGCGTTCCAACTAACTGGCTAGAGAGTCGAGTGCGAGCAATGCAACGCAACACGACGGCGTGCCAAATGGCGAGGATGTTTGACCGGGTGCCTTCAGCTTAGCGAGTGGAGTTAAACTATCAAGGTCAGCATCAATGCTTAGTGTCGTCGAACCCTAGGCTATCGACTTCGGGGAAGTGTGTGAAGCTACACTCTAAAAGTGTGTTAGGTAGCTTCGGCCAAATTCAAGGATTAGGCAACGAATTAAAACTCAACACCCGACATTTCAGCCCACCTCCTCAGTTCTCATGGTCGGTCAACAACTCCACCATGCGCTGCCAAGAAGCTAAGTGTTGTTGGGCCTAAAACACTAATGAACTGGATGAACAAAATATTGAGACTCAAGCGAATACGGCAAACCTTGGGTCGAAGGAGGAATCTGATACACATGCACATGTAAACGGCCACCTAAGGAGACAGCCACTTTGCTATACGTCACGGACATGAATACGAAGGCTGGCTATACGATCGATACTGACTTGGAAGTTGGCAATCCCCCGCAACGAAAAGCGCTTGTCACGACCTGTTCATTAACATGTAAGGTGGCTGATAGACAACCTATGCCATGCTTATGGGTAAAGAATCTTTGTCTTGACCTAGTTTTGTGCAAAACTATTCACTTGCACTTCCTACTAGCTGATGTCCCGATATCAGTCACTGGTATCTTCCCTAAACCATCACGACCTACTCATCATCCCGTGTGTTGGACAGTGATCATGAGTTGGGATAACCCTCTCATACTATCTTATACAACGGGCACTGAAGTGCATCTTGCTTCAACATTAAGAACCAACCTACCATCCAAAACACGGTACCTGACTCCCAAATGGGATTTGCACTTCGTCATAAGTTCGTGGGCGCCTGCACGCTTGTGGTCAGAGAATTACGCTAGTCATAATATCTGCCTATGGTACACCTAGTCATAAATTGTTGGCCGGTACTCGGTCCTGCACCATTCGCCTGCTAAGGAATGTCTTCGTCAATAAAGTTTCCCATATTTGGAGTGGGCTTCCTGGGGAATTACACATTGTGGGTCCACCTCCTCTCTTTCCCTCCCCACCCAATAAGTTGCTTATACGCTATGTACTTGTCAACTGCGTAGCCTCCACCCACGCATGCTGGGATAGTGAGGATGTGCTCAAACACCTAGATGTGTAATAATAATATATTTCATGCAACATAAGTTACATGAATACAAACCAGTTCACAGGTTTGATCATTTTGGTAATGAGAAATGACTGTTAAGTACAATGTTAAGCTACACATTAGATACCGTTAGTCACGGCACATAAGAGATGCGCTTCGAGAAAGAAGGTTAATGATTAGCAGACAGCAAAGAATAAAACAAATAAATACCAACACAATCGTTCATCATGCTGAAGCAAGCTCAGATAGAAAATAGGAATAATTCGGCTATTGTTTGGATCTTTCAATATTCTTGAAGGTAAGAACGGTAGTGGAGCCGTCACCTTGGATTGTGTGTGTTCGTCATAAAGTTTTGATGGCATAGTGCACGCTGACAAACGCGATTACTAGGATCCCATATAGATGAAAGACTGGTCGGGTAAACCTGAAAAATGAATAACGAAATCGAGCGGCAGGAGAAATTCGAAACAGGAGCACAGAAATAAGCAGAAGTATATCAACCACGATACATGAAGGTGAGTTCTTTGCGCTGACCACAAAAGTTACTTGAAGAAGTATCCAAAACCTACTGTTTAGGGGTAAGCTTATCGGAGAAGTACTGGGAACTAAGCTGAAGCCGAACATATCACTATGGAATAGCGAGATTAGAGGATTTTGGATCAGGTATTTGCTTGTGTGTAGAAAATCTGTGTACAAAAGTTTGATAAAGCTATAAACATTTGAGTAAAACCCGTGATTTTTGCATAAATGGTAACCGCACTTTATTTAGTCATGACGGAGGGATGATCATGGTGTTGCCTGTTGAGTGTTGCAATATCACGGCTATAGAGACAGTTTGGTGGCGCAGAGTGCTTACATGTAAGTGCCGATAACAAAAGGCAAACAATCAAACATTTAACATGCTAAAAAGATCCTCTGACGAAAAGTTCATTTATCAACCAGGGGTAAAGAGTTCATTTTTAGGGAAGAATCTTAAGTAATAGGTGTTAAGTTGAGAGACCAGTTAGGCTACGAAGAAATAGAGGTTGCATCAGAGTGGCTACGGAGTTCATTGTTGCAAATCGTATCACGTTCCACTTCCTGTCTGCCCTAGGTCATTTTGTTTAAAATTTGATTTCATCTTAACCTATGCGCTTAGCTTTTGACCTTGCATACTTTTGTCATTGCCGTTAGTCTCCCTTGAGTCTAGGTACCAATAGCACCATCGTACACGGCATAACCGTTTGTGATTTGGTCGTTAACGAATTGGCGAGAATCTCTAGACGGGAATTCACTAAGTAATCAGTGAAACTGGCCGAGAGATCGACATGCTCATATAGGAGCGGGAAGTCTGTTCCAAAGCGTATTGCATTGCGTTATGAAGAACCTACATCGAAGTTTTGAGCTATACTTATTTATTGCCATTACGCAGACTATATGGCGGTGTTGATTGAAAAGTAATAGCATAGTTCGTTTTAGATTTTCCAAATAAAAGACGAAACAGAAAGGTTAGGTTGGGCTTCAGGCGTCTCATCTAGAGTGATTCTGGTTCCACTTTTTGGCACCTTGCTACGCAAGGAAGTCCTCCATCATGCATAACTAGGCACCGGGTAGGGTTTTGATGAATGTTCCCTACTCGAATTCTACCAGGTACTTCCACGTTGCCGTAGATAACCGCAATACTCCAATATTAGGCGAACCACAACTTTGTGTAGCATGGGTTTTGCCTTGGGTATGAGTATGTTTCGGTGCAGAAGACCTACGAGTCTTCCGCCTTTGGAAACTATTGAATCTGCATATTCCGTAAAAGTCAAATTCCTGAAGTAGGTGATTCCGAGGTCTCTCATAGTGTTTTGTACCTGCAGAGCGATGTCACCCGGGTGTAGTGTCACTTCTGGGTGGGATTTGTTGAAATGGAGGATGCCACTGTTGTCTAGGCTACCAAAGTGCTCATATTCTTTCCGCCCTCAGGCGTTCACAAATGCTCATGTAAACTGTTTGAGTATCGCACGACTGCCCTTTTTAAGGAGTTGGACAAGTGAAAATGGTGCTAATGTCGACTCGGAATTCCTTTTAACTTTGCCAAAAGTAAGTGAAGTTGTTTTTTATGCGTGAATCGAAGAGCATGTGTAGCTCGAATAAGTCTAACGGGATAAAATTCCCTTCTCCCAGTCATTTTGCCTACAGCAATATTTTCCTTAGACTGGTGGCGCCCTTCCTTATTCTCCTTTCAGCACCAATTTGA